AAAAAAAAAAAACACAAAAAAACCCTACCCACCTACTCGTGCTAAGGCCCCCGTATTGAGCGATGTTTACCGAACTCTTGTACCTGAAGTGTGGGCCAGGCGTGGCATGTAGGGTTACAATTACTCCCTCCCTATCTCTCTTTCTCTCTCCCTCTTTTTTTTTTTNNTTTTTTGTTTTCTCTCTCGCTCTCTCGGTATTCACATACACATACACAGACATATTCAAGGTTATTGAAAGAATGGTACGCAAGTCCTAGTCGGCACCTCCATGTAAGCGTTGTCCCATTAAGTTCGCTGATGGCCTACGGTCATGCGCAACACGTTCCAATTCAAGCGCTCTAACAGCTATTCATGACATTCCCTTGCTGTGCGAATTGTGGTATAACACACCTCAATTTCATAGCGTTGTTTTCAATATAGCGGCCCTCATACAGTAATTTCGACGCGATCTAGGTGTTTGGACTTAGCATGCGGGCGTGTTTTGAATGGGGTTTGGGTCCTTTGCGCTAGACCTTCCCGATGGTAGAGGTCGTCTGCTATTGACCTGCTCGTTGTAGAGTTTTAACGTACTGTTGTACTAGGTTCCTCTGCATGATTCTAAGGTGTCTGAGCAAGTTTGGTAGGAGACACTTTGATGACGTAAAGGATGAATTGCCTGAAGGGCCGTTGGAGAAGGATAAGCCGGACGGTGAGTCGTGGGCTCTAGTGCGGCGAGTAGAATCGGGGTTCAGGCTTTAGGGCTGAGGGTNNNNTAAACCCGAATCCCTAATCCCTAAACCCTAAAACCGTCTTAGTTTTATGCAACAGGGTGTATGCCTACTAAATGGTATATACCCTCACCCCTAGGTAAGCCGGCTCCGAAACCCCGGCCCCTGAAAACCTCAAGACCGGCTTCGAAAGAGGCCGAGGCTCCTTCACTCTGTGGCACTCCTCACGCTTTAGGGTTTAGGGCTTTAGGATTAGGGTTTAGGGTTTAGGGTTAGGGTTTAGGGTTTAGGGTTTAGGGCTTAGGGCTTTAGGATTAGGGTTTAGGGTTTTAGCTTTAGGGTTTAGGGTTCATGGGTTTCGTGTGGTCGAAGGCAGAGAAGATCCTAGCTGGAGCCCACAAACGATGCCAGCCGCGGAAGCCTAACACTAGATTGCTAAACCCTAAACCATTAACCCCAAGCCCGAACACCTCCAGAGCCCTAACGCGCTAAACCCTCACGCCCTAAACCCTAAACCCTCACGCCCTAAACCCTAAACCCTAATGTCCTAAATCCTGAACCCACAAAGCCCTAAATCCTGAACCCCAAAAGCCCTAAATACTAAGCCCTTAACGCCTTAAAATCCTGAACCCTTATACTTATATATAAGGCCCCAAAATCCGGAAACCGCCCTAAACCCTGAACCCTTTAAGGCCTTAAAGTCCTGAAGCCCTACTCCCCCCCTGAGGTTTGCCGCGAACTCGAACTGGAACTACGACGCGGATCCCTTTGAGGCCCTGAAGTTCGAGAAGCCTCTGGAGGAGCAGAAAGAAGGATTATAGGGTTTAATTAATAACAGAAATAGTAACAATAATAATTGAAAATAATAGTAACAATACCAGAGGAGCAGAAAGAAGGATTATGGGGTTTTGGGTTTAGGGTTTAGGGTTTGTTGGGGTTTAGGGTTTAGGGTTTAGGGTTTGTTGGGGTCTAGGGTTTAGGGTTTAGGGTTTGGGGTTTAGGAGGAGCAGCTACTTCTTTCACACGACACCTTGTAGTGATCCTTATAAGCCCAGTCTCACTTCGCTCTCGAAGCTTTCCGTATTGTTTTTTGTTTGTTTGTTTTTTCCCCGTATTGTTTTGGAGGAGCAGAAAGAAGGATTCGGGATTGGGGTTTAGGGTTTAGAGTTTGGGGTTTGGGAGGGTTTGGGGTTTGGGAGGGTTTGGGGTTTAGGAGGGTTTAGGGTTTAGGGTTTGGGGTTTAGGGGGGGTTTAATGTTTGGGGTTTTAGGTGTTGGGGTTTAGGGGTTAGGTTTTAGGGTTCTGGAGGAGCAGCAGGAAGGAGGTTTAGGGTTTATGAGGGTTTAGGGTTCTGGTTTCGGGTCTCCTGGGGTTCTGGACGTGCAGGAAGAAGGAGGTTTAGGGTTGAAACCTTAACCTTTTGGGGCTTATACAATCCTACTATAATTCAAAAGATTAACCTTTTTTGGGCTAGGGTACTCAGCCCTTAAGTTTAGCACCGGCCCGTTGTCTTATATGCGGGTCCTTGATGCATCCCTGTGGCGTAACACACAAACCTTACATCCCTGAACATTCGTCCGATCCCGCATTCCCAAACAAAGTCCGAACACCACCAAAACCTCGGAAACCGGGAACCTCACCAGCAAAAACGATAAACAATACAATAAACCCTAAACCGAACAAAAATCCTAAACTCTGCATCCTACACCCCTGAATAGGCCCCAACTGTCACCCTCAAACCCTAAACCCTAAAAGCCCCCTGTAAATCCCGTTTGGGGCAATCGAGGAGCTGAAGCAGCGCCTAGAGAAGGACGAGCCAGTCTTCCAGGACGGAGGGGTAGGTGCACAGCGGACTTAGTAAGCAGGTAGCCCTAAACCCCAGAAAGTTGGAACCTGGGTTTAGGATGATGTGTGCTCGGATCCCGTATACTTTAAATTAAGGGCATGAGGACTATAATGTTTCAACTTTGTAGCTTCTACTATGTTTGATGGCCAGCCTCGGCATTTGGTATGAATTTAGTTTAGGGACCGTGGAAGGACTCCATTGTAATTCTGTTTTGGTGTGACCTTTTAGGATCCCTATTATGGAATTGGTTAGACCAAAAAAGTAAAAGGAACTACAATGGCAATGGAGACTATGGGTATTGATTATGCCCAGAAGACACGGGGCACTGCAGCATCGTAGTGCCGTCGTGACGAGGGTGATCGAGCGTAGCCCAAGCTCAGGGTTTATGTAGAGACCCTTGCCCAAAGGCAACCTCTATCATGCTAAGCCCCAAAACCCTAAACCCTTATAAGGCCTAAACCCTAAATCCTAAACCCTAAGCCCTAAACCCTAAACCCTGACCCCTGCATGGTTCATAAAAACCCTGAACCCCTGAGGTTGGCGACAAATCGAAGCCCCGAAGCCCTAGCCCCGGAGAAACAAGGCCCAAACCCCTACGTTTAGGGTTTAGGGTTTAGGGTTTTCTAAACGCTAAGCCATGAACCCTATGCCCCAAACCCTAAACCCCTGATTAATAAGTCCCCACATCATGGTCAACCCCTGACCTCCCGGAGGATCTCATCCGGGCAAAGCTCTTGAACAACCCACACAAGGCCTTTCCGGTTTAAGGTTTAGGGTTTTCAACAGAGTATAGGATGGTTTGGGGTTTATTTAGGGTTCGTGGCTTTACTTGGCATCGAGGAGCCATGCGAAGTCATCGCTGACATCTTCCCCATCCCACACCCTAAACCCTAAGCCCTAAGCCCTAGGCCCTAAACCCTAAACCCTAAATCCTAAGGGGCTTGTCCCGCGCGGAAGCCCAGAGTCTGCGAGGAAGGATGCAGTTTTATGACGGCTTCCCGTAGAGGTTCGCGGGCCTCAGCTAATATGGTTGATGATATTAGGGTTTTAGGGTTTAGGGTTTAGGGTCTAGGGTTTAAGGGTTTAGGGTTTAAGGTAGGGTTGATGATATAACACCTGCATTGCCCCGTAAGAAGGAACAGACCATCATTCCCGTATAGTTTGGGGTCATTAAGGTAATGCAGGATTNNATTTATATCATCAACAGTAGGTATCTAAGGACGTGAAGAGGGGTTATAGTTAGCATATTCTGCAGTCACCTGTCACACATATATATATATATGCCTACTTACTAGGTCCCCTCATCTTGTCAGAATCCCTTATAGAATCCTCAAAGCACCCAAGAAAAACCTTCCTCCCCACGTCTCCGATCCTTTGAATCAGGGTTCCGGCTTAGCACCCTGAAGGCCTTAAACCTCTGAACCCTAAGGCTCGAGTTTGAAGTAAACCCCACTCGCTAAAGCCCGAAGCCCTAAAACGCTACACCCTAAACCCT